GAAGGAGAAGCTAGACAGATTGTTTCGACGACGAAAAAAACAGAGACGGCAGCCAGAGACAAAGGGACGCAGATCGCGGCCGAAGACGAAGGAATGGACGGAAACAGAACGACAGAAGAAGAAGAAAAGTCGGAGGAATGAGGTTTTTGAATTTTTTCAATAATGGAGGATTTTTGGGATTTGATATTTTTTACTTTTGGAAAGTCTAATTGGGCAAGGCAAAATTTAAGGAATTTAAAATGTAACCTGCCAAGTAGCCAATTTTGGATTTTAAAAATTAATTAATATTGAGGTGAGATACAAAATCATATATTAGTAAATTTGGTGATGGGTACCATCCTAAATGGGTTTATTTCATAACAAAATTGTAAATTTTATACAATTCATCTTTTATGTAATTATAGTCTCTAAATAGCCTATCAATCTACTAATCCAAGATGTTGAAACCCATCATTTATTATTGTGATTATTATTATTATTATTATTATTATTGAATTTGATAAAACAAATAGTATGGTCTTTAAGGGAAAAAAATCCTAAGAGGTGTGGAAACAATATGAATATGAATAATATTTCCTTAAAAAAATATTTTCCAAATTAATTTGAAAAATCAAACTTATCAACCTTCACCCACCAAGTGATGATAATAAGAAAGAGGACAATAAAAACAAACCCCATCTTTCTTCCAGGCGTACATTGACATTTGATAAGTTACTCATAAACTTTCTTAAGATACGCATATTTTTGTTTGAATTATTTGAGGTCAGTTTCAATTCAAGTTTTTACAATTTTAAAATTTTATCAATTATAAACTCTATAATTTGTTAAATGTTAACCGTCTTTATGGGGCAGATTCTTAATTTAGACTAGGTAGAAGAAGAGATGATGAGTTGACATTCAATTTAAAATATGTGCAACAGTTATATTGATTGACTACATTAGTAAACTAGACACACTTAAATAGGATTTCAGAGTGGAGAAGAAACACCTGTAGAAAATGAATGATTTTATTACACATTCTCTAAATATCTTAATCCTCAAAATCCACTCTTCTCTCTCTCTCTTTATATTAACCTATGATAACGGTTTAATTAAACAACATCAAAACTATAACGAAACTTTTAAATTAACAAAAACCAAATTGAAATCAAATTCAATCGCAATAATAAGCAGTAACAACTCCAACTCAAAAAGAAATTATCACACACGTATGTAAGAATCAAACTAAAGCTTTTAAAAGATCAGGGACGATAACCGAAATAAAATGAAGCGAGACGAGAATTCAAACATGTAAAATGGAGAGAGAGAGAATGGTGATGTGAAGAGACTAGAGAGTGATGGAAAGGGCATGTGGAGTAGAGGGAATGCTCCATAGAATGGATTCCATGTGTTGAAGGTTAAGGGGACTATAAGATAAAAAGGGATCCATATAGAGAGGCAGGCTGTCAGATCATGCCTTCAACTTCAATGCAATCTCTCTTGCTCTCTTTACCTCTTACCTTTCCTCTCTTCAATATACATCATATATTATATATCATATATCATACATTATTGTATTGGGCCATAATGTTTTTGTTACTATATCCAAATAAACTAATATAGCACATGTCCCTACCTCTCTTTCTCTCATTTTATTTTCTATTTGTTTCTTACTCTTTCCCCAAACCCTACCATCTCATCCTCTTTCTCTTGCTAGTTCAAATAATGTCGCATTTCCCCGTTTTTCGTTTCGTGAACAACGTCGTTCTTGGATAAAGTAATTGACACGTACGCTACGCACTGATTTTATTTATAATTCATAGAAGTAATGTATACTTCAGATAACATTCTTTGTTTTTTTTTTAATCTCTTGTTTCTTAGAATTCGTTTTTCAAAATGTTGAATGGTTTTCAAGTCAAAAATTAAAATTTTAAATTCTAGAAAGCAGGAACAAAGTAAAAAAGCATTAATTTATTATGGTTGCAAAGAGTACAAACAAAGTCTTACGTTGGAAATAAAAGAAAGTGATCTCTGGTGTAAAGCTAAGGACAATTATCTTAATTGATACGAGGTTTTTTGGTTGAAACCAAAAGTAAAGTCATTAGGGCGTTACGCTCAAAGTAAACAATATCATACGAGTGTGCAAATAATTGGAGGGTTCCTTGCCATTTAACATAATTGTCAACATTTATTCTCCTTTTTCATAGAGTTAAAAAGGGAAAAAAAATCTGCAAATGCATTGTTTATATTTCCATTTCATAGCCAAATAATGGAGGAATAAAAGCTAGAAATGAGGCTTAAATAAGATATCGCTTATGATAATAAAATTAAAAATGAAAATTTAATATCCAAAGCATAAAGATATACTTGAAAAAGAAAATGTGATTTATGAGTTTTTAGTAAGGAAAGGAAACAATGATTCGAATGGGTTGGGGTTGGAATTAAGGTGGAGATGGTAGCACAGTATCGGCCTGCCTATAAATAGATTTAAAGAGAACGGTGGGAGTTGGTTGGTGGGGACACATAATTCCCAATATTAATGCAATGCCCTTGCCCCTCCCGTCCCTCAATTGACACCCACAAACTTTGTCATCCCGACCCGAATAATATTTAGGTACTGATCGATAAATAGTTCTGTAAGTATTCTCAAGATGAAAGAGATAATTTTTTCTTGTTACCAAAAAGTAAATAAATAGGTGTCAACTTTTTAACCTTGACGTCTGGCCAATAGGAAAATGCTTATTGATCGGTTAATATCTCAAGTATTACTTTTTTGTATCCCTGGACTGGTTTAGTTTAGTCCCAAAAAAAAAAAATTCTAACTCACATTTTATTTGGTTTTAGAATTAAATTTCATTTTAGTCCCTCGCCTATCAAGACTTTTACATTTGATCCCTAAACTTTTAAAATACCTAAATTAGTCCTCAAATTTCATTTGATCATTGTATTTATTATTTATTTTTTCATTTTTACAAATAGAATGCAGCTTGGACATCATCTACTGCTTCTTGAAAAATTTAAGAACGAAAATGAACATTTTGAAAACAAAATTAGTTTTTAAAATGGGATGTATGTTTTAGTAGTTGTTTATAAAAATGAGATTCAAATATTTGTAAAAAGAAAATAGAGAGAGTGTATGCATAAGAAAAACAAAACAGAAGACTACAAGAGGCATCAGCTGTCAATCACGTGCAATGCAAAGTTCCAAAGAAAAATTTAGTGAAAATTATTATCATATTGTTTCTCGAGTGACAAGTACAGCACGCATGCAAAAGGCCCCACCCCCCAAAAAAATAAATAACATCATTTTCATACGTGTCACCCCCATTTATAATCCTTAATTTCCATTAATGATTTATAAAGTCAGAATCATAATATAAACAAAGAGGAAATTTTCCCATATACTATATAGTTGGGCCAAAACATGATATTGAAAGGCAAAAAGAGACGCAATTCCCGCCAAAATAACAACCGAGACACACGCGTGATACGAACGTGCTTTCCACGCGACAAAATGCGTGTCACGTGCGCACAGTAATTCAAACTCAAGACTCAAAGTAAAAAAGAAAGGCAAATCTATTATTATTTCTTTTCTTTTTTTATTTTTGGTTTCTGCGTTTGAGAAGTCTTTGAATTGAACTGTGAAGAAACTTGACACGTGCGGCACACAGCAGTTCCTTTTCTCTTTTTTCCTTTTTCTTTTTTCACCGAAGAACAAACAACAAAACAATTCACGACTCGGAGCTGTCTTCTCTTCTCTGCAAAATTACCTACTTTGAAGGTGGGGCCCACAATCTCTATATTCTTTCAAATCACTAATAAATGCTGCCTCTGAAGTCTGAATTCAACTCCCCACTTCCTTCTTTCACCTTTTTCCTTCCACTATATATTTTTATTTAAAAACCAATATAATATAAAATATATAAATCTTTTTCTTTTTCTTTTTCTTTCTTTCTCACACCAAAATAATATCTACAACTACAACAATCTCCCCTCCCACTTCTCTCCTTGGGAATCTGCAAAACCATTAGATTTTTTTTTTTATATCTCTATACGACGACGTACGATCTTAGACCTCCTACATTGCTCTCTGTGTAAAATTATGTATAATTTTGGACCACCGGCCGTACCGCAATTTAGGCTTTCCCTCTGTTCCCTTCTTTCTTTTTTTTTGCTTAAATTTATTCGTCTGCTCTTAACTTGGAATTTTCTTTGTCATCTTCTAGCCACACGCAATTATTCAATTTTCTCCTTTTAAAAGGTAACTTTGACGAGGAGGAGGATGAGGAGGAGGATGACGAGTCACCGTACCTCGACCCGGCTCGGACTCTCACTCGGAGCTGTGGTATCACTTTTGGGGGCTTCCTCCGCCGACCCTCCATTGTTAACGGCTGCATTAACCGGTAACACCCCACGATCTTTTCCTGCAAACCCACATCCATTTAACCAATCACAATCTGACACCCATTTGGTCCAAATAAGTTGAGCATGTTCTATAATATTCTCATTTCTGCTTCCTTATTTTTAATTAAAAAGAAATAGAAATGCATAACATAACATCTATAAATTAAAACGATAAAACAATATTTATATTTATATTCTAGGACAAGCTCGAAATGAAAACAAGACCAAAAATTTATTTTGATTGTTTCAAAATATTTCTATATAATTTTTAGAATGTGTTTAGAAAATTAAAAAGAAAGAAACTATTTCATAGTAAAAATGCTTAAGTTTTTTAATAAAATTGAAAATGAGAAAAAAAAAGAGAATCCTACCAAACAAACTCTTAATATTTAAAAATAAATAATCAATTGTTAATATACTTGTTATAATCTCAAAAAGTCCATACTTCTTTAACAGTCTCATATTTGGCAGGAATATGGAATAATTTTACTGGGGTTACATATACTTACTTTGCTGAGTCCATTGCACCATGATTCGGCGTGTTCAGGATTCAAGAGGGTCAAATTAGGGATTTCATTTGCTGCACAAAGTAAGGCTGCGGCGGCTATGCACGACGGCCAGTACTCAAGAAAGCTAGCGTCTGTAATAACAATCATCATTATTAATAAGCTGAACTATATACCAACACCAACGGGGTGCTGAAAATGAATTAAATGTGTGTAGCTATTAATTAATTCCTAGCTAATAACATAACAGTACTTCATTAATTAATTTACCTCGAATATTTGAGAGAATAATTTCTGCGGAGCGTGAGTTTAGGAAACTGGAAAATGTTCCGGTGGGATCTACTTTGTAAGCGAAGAATCCGATGAAGCTGAAGGGTGTCACGGATCGCAGCCGCCAATTCAAAGTCGTCAGCACAAGAAGCTCCATCCTACGTATTGTTCTGGGTTCAAATATATATTTTGCCCCTTCAATCTATGATGATTCCATTCAATTTCTCAATTCCATTACTCTATAAACTTCAAAATCTACCAAAATTGATGGAACGAATTTTCCAACCAGTTACTAAGTAGAGCTGTACCTGGAGATCGAGGAAGGAAGGAACCAGTGGCTCTTCCAATTTTGCTGCAAGCGACAAACAAGCCACTGAAAGGAGCTGCATCGGCCACCCATTTGTTTCCTGAAAACAACATTCAATAACAGAACCAGAGGCGGATGTCACTAAAACGCCGCGCGTGAATGGACATCATCGACGATTTCTTAATCAAAGAACAGTTCGATTGAATCAGAACTACTGTAGATGCTATTTCCAGAATACGAATTACGAATAAGAAGATCCGAATCAAAAAATTACGAATCCTCGAAGCGATTTTGATCAAATTACGAGTCGGAAAGATAATTATTCATTATGATCCGACAGAGAAGACCGACTACGGTGATAGTAAACTTTACAGCAGCAGATAATAATCAAGAGATTTGACGCTGTGATTTTATTCTCAAAAGTAAAAGTGACTTTTACCGGCAAGCGGCGAGAATAAAGGAATCGATCCAAGTAGTTAACGGAGAGGTACGCGGTGAGCGGTTGAAAGCCGTAATATGCTTGAACCTGCAAGAAAAAGGACGAAACAGCACGATCGATCAGTACTCCTCGTCTTCACTCACAATAAACAGAAATTAAACACAATATTTCAGAGAAGGCAAGGTTAATTATGCGAACAAATTCGCCTACGGCTCTAAAACGTGCGCCGGCGAAGGCAGAGTGATGTAGATTAAAGAAAATCAGATGCCTCCATGGAATCGGAATCGGATTCCGAATCGCTCGACGACGGTGAAGCGTGTTGGTTTTTTAGACTGGGAGATACAGATACAATAGTTGAAACCAAGATTTCGTGAAGGAGACTACTAAAAATAGATTATTCTAGATCCGCGCCTCGAGTATCCCCGGCGATTCTTGAAATGGAGCGAAATCGCAGGTCCGTCGTCGGGGCATTATGCTAATAATCAATCGAATTACTAGTCCGATCATCGAGACAACGCTGCAGTGAAGAGAGGAAGAAAGAAATCGAGCACGATACCTTGAGAATCCATGCAACAGACTCTGCTCTCGCCGAAGAATCCAGCGATTCAGACTGGAATCGCGACAAGTAGTCAGTACCAGGAACGAAGTGCCGCTCGTCTTCTATGAAACTGGCGATGGAATCCTCACTGGTAGCCGGC